TTCAATTGGAAATGAACTAAGCAATTCTGTGGCTTCACGCTGGGCCAGATCAGGTTGGCATCTGAAAGTTTTCCTTTTTTAGAACTTCCAGCTACTTTGAATTTCCCCTTTTAGGTAGAAATGGGGCCATTCAAACACACAGTAGATGACGGGCTCGATGTGAGGAAAGCGGCCTTTGAATGCATGTACACACTTTTGGAAAGTTGCCTTGATCGGCTGGACATCTATGAGTACTTAAATCATGTGGAAGATGGCTTGAAAGATCATTATGATATCAGGGTAATGCCTTTTTCATTAATTTTGAAACTTCTAATTTCATTATTTCATTGAATTGTAGGGCTGTTTGGGATGAATCAGTCCCCCCCCCTCCCCCCCGGCAATGCAATGAATCCAGACTGTTCTTCCACAAAGACAATGCCCGAACTGGGAGATCCTATAAGAGCTAAATAATCCTCCTCCATGTTATTTTCTTTTGCCTTACCTTATAACTTAGAAGGAAGATCAATTCTTTTATATAGGAGGGAAGCTTTGTTGCAATCTTGTAAAGCAGTGGCCCCCAACCTTTTGGACACCAGGGACCAGTTCTGTGGAGAAAGATTTTTCTGTGGACCGGGGGGGGGGGGCGTGGTTTCACATGCTGCCTGCATCCCATAGATGGGGCTTCGTTTCTTTGTGCGGCCCAGTTTCGGGCATGCTTTGGCCTGGTGCCAGTCCAGAGACCAGGGGTGGGGGACCCCTTTACAACAGGAGTCCTGTTGTAAAGGGGTCCCCCACCCCTTTTAAAGGCAAAAGTTGTTACAATGAAAGGGGGCCACGAGTTGGTGGAAATTATTACTGAAATACATGCTTGAAAAAAAAACCACGATGCTAATGTAAGCTTTTCCCTTTCTTCATTATGAAGATGCTGACCTTCATTATGTTGGCTCGCCTCTCAACACTCTGCCCTAATGCTGTCCTGCAAAGATTAGAGCGGCTTGTTGAACCACTCCGAGCAACATGTTCAACTAAGGTAATGCCCTGGGAAGCTTGAATGTATTTATATCTTGATAGTCCTACCTCTCTTTTTTACTTGAGGTACCTAATTGTTCATATCCTAAGAGACAAGGGATTACTGTTGCAATAGAGTTACAATTGCAGCCCTCGACTTAACAACCATTCATTTAAGGACCATTCAAAGTTACCGCACTGAAAAAAGAGACTTGCAACTAGTCCTCGCACTTAAAACCATCGCAGCATCCTGTGGTGATGTGATTGCCATTTGTGACCCTCTCAGTCGGCTTCTGACAAGCAAATTTCATGGGGGAAGCCCAATTCATTTAATGACCGCATGGTTCTTTTAACAACTGCAACAGCAGTCATGGCAAAAAAAAATTGACACAAAATCAGGCACAATGTACTTAATAACTGCCTTGCTTACCAATGGAAATTATGGTGCCAGTTATAGTTGTGAAAGTGGAGGTGATTGAAGCAATCTTAGCTGATTATCGGGGATGAGTTTCCCCTGATTGGCACTGAGGAAGAGTCCTCAAAACTCTGAACTCTGCTGTCTTCCGTTTTCAAGTAATGGCTCCCCTGGTTAGTCAGGAGGAGCAATGATTTGTGGCACATAATCTGGTTCAAGTGGAGAGCAGGGTTGGTCCATGTGTTCTTGGAGAACAGGGTTGGTCCATGTGTTTTGAAGCAGTTGGGCCATCCCTCCTTAAGAAGCCATACTTGGATTCAATAGCATTGGGACAATTTTGCCTCATCTCCAACCTTCCATTTTAAGTGAGAAAGTGGTAGGTGTGTGGCTTCAGGGCTTTTTGAAGTTTGTTAAGCCATTTTCAGGCTGGGTTGAAGTACCAAGATGGTATCATTCATGGTTGTGGTGCCCTTTGGAGGCCTCAAAGTGGAGGTGGTATACCCTTCCTTGCTCTCCTCCCTCTCAGCAGGTTTCCAATGTCATTGACCATGGTATCCTTCTTGATCATCTTTGGGGATTTGGGTGTGGGGTTTTTTGTTTTGCAGTGGTTCTCCCTCCCCCAGGGCTGATTCCAGTAGGTGTTGGATGTAGAAGGAGCAACTCCAAACTTGGACCTCTCGTATGTGGGACATCTCAAGGCTTAACTCTCTATTCCCATTTACAATTTAAATGACCTCACCTTGCAGTTTTATCGGCACTGGATGAAAAACCATCAGTATGGTGGCGATACTATACATCTTCATCTCTACCTATATGAATGATGTGCTGGAGACTTTTACCCATTGTGATGGGTTGCGACTCAACAAGACCAGGTGACTGGTTTTTTGCCCCCCTTGGATCTAATGTTTTTTTCATCTACAACTCTTGATGGGATTGCATTTCCCCAGCACTGCGCTTAGTCTCAGGTCCTTCTGATCTCAGCTCCTACTTGAAGAGTAGGTGATAACATGGCTAGGAATGGACTTCGTAGATTTGTCTTGTGCACTACTTATGGATCAGGAGTCTTTGCATTCATTCTTGCCTTTATTGGATTCCTATAATGTGCTGTACATTGGGCTCTTCTTGAGGAACTCAAGAGGTTTCAGCTGGTCTAGAATATGCAGATTAATGAATGTGGCTACTGACTTATTTAACATTTCCTAAGTGTTTTGACTTATTTAACATTTCTAAGTGTTCTACACATAGCAGGTATGTAGTCAGATTTCCTTTTGACAACACAAAAAGTCACTGAATGCAGACATATAAATGTGATTAAAACTAATGTTTTAATTTTGCCCAAAGACCTTTTAAAGGTATTCTAATTATAATCATTTTTTTTTCTAGGTAAAGGCTGGTTCTGTAAAACAAGAATTTGAGAAGCAAGATGAACTGAAACGTTCAGCAATGAGGGCAGTAGCTGCTCTACTGACCATCCCAGATGCCGATAAAAGCCCTGTAATGGCCGAATTTTCTTCCCAAATCCGAGCCAACCCAGAAATGTCTTCCCTCTTTGAAAGCATTCAGAAGGATCCCACTTCATTATCCACAACAGACTCAATGGATCTGAGTTAGAACTCTTGGACTATTTTGTCTGCTGCTTAAAATCCACTGTTTCCAGTGCAGGAGCTAGAAATGATTTTAGAGCCAGGTGTCATTTTAAAAATGACAATTATTTCTATGGAAACAAGTAAGATTTCAGATATGATAAACAGCAACCTTATTTTTCAGTTACCACTTATTTCTTAGTTCCAAAATGCAATCCTGCCAAAAGAAAAGTCAACCTAATTACAGTATTGACAAGTGTATTTACCGCCCCTTCTATTATTAAAGTGAAACCCCCACAATGAATTCTTCGAAGTGATGAGATTGTCATGCTGTACCCCCAAATGAATCAACAGATGTGGCATCAGTTAAATGCTGATGTTCACATTTGCTGATATTACAATTAATTGATTTTTCAGTGTTAAAAGATTTTATAGCCATTGCCATGCCTCCCTCCTTTGAAATTAATACCGAATTACAGAAGTATCTCAATTGTCTTCCAAGATTGAATGTCTTATGCTTCGTTAATGTGGCTTGTCTGCCACACTGTAATTTTTTTCTTGTATGGACCTTCTTGCTATAATTCTTGGTTTTTTTTTTTTAAAGGAGCTAATACCAAAGCATTGATTATTTCAAAGTATATAAAATTAGCATGTTATTATCAAGAGACATTCATCTGGTATAAATACGTAGTAATGAATTGGCACCATTCATTTATCAAAATGGAAATACAACTGTAGTGTTATCATTTTTTTTTTCATTCAGCAAGGGTCATCGTATTGCTGCCTTGCAGCTCCTGATTACATTTCATGGGGGGGAGGGGAGTCATATGCCACTTGATATGTGAATCACTTAAGTGCTCTATTTATAAAACAGGGTGTCACCTTTTGCTGTACATGCATCAGAAGAAAATAAAGTCAAATATATAAATGATGGAATTTGGTGAATGGTTTTGTAGCCAATTAACTTTTGCATGGACACCTGAAAAGTAACAATTTTGAAAATCCAAGGTAGTCATTGTTATGATACAGACAAGCAAAATGTTAACGTGAGGGAACCAAAGAATCATAATGAAGCCTGGTTGTTTCTAATGCTGAAATTGAATCAATTTACAGCAAAATGCAAGTTGCACAATTCACAATACCTTCAGGTATAGGACATTCTATATGCTTTGTATGAATTTGAACTTGTTACTTTATATAAATTAATTTTAAAATCTTGCAATTTTAAGCACGACTTAAACGTTAATGAAACAAAATTGTGAAGCTATTTTAAGACAGAATCTTCATCAGCAAATGACATTTAAGTACTTGGGTTCAATGTACAGGTCCATCTTCACAAGTACCATTGCTAAACTGGCTACATTGCATATGCATTTCATTTATGTTCCCTAAATTAAGTATTTTTCATTCATATATATTTATTTTATTTAGGTAGTTGTCCTGAGAATTTTAGTAAAACATAAGGATCTTATTAAATTTTATTTCTGCCTTCTAGGGTTTCAGTTATACTCCAATTTGTGTCACTTGCAAATTGAATCAAAATTTCTTTCAAATCTTTATCCACATAAGTACAATGTTGAACAGAGGATCCAGATCTGAACCCTATGGTGCTACTCTCAATAACTCTACATTGCTTGCAGTAGTTTTCAAGCCAGCTATGTGGTACATCCATTTAAGTATAATTAAATTCAGCCAACACTGAATTAGCTTGCTAATCAAAATGTAATGTGTCATACCTGAAAATTAAGATATATTATGTACAGCATTCCCACAATCTTTTGGAACTTGTTCAATGAAAAATGTAGTTTACTCTTGGAGGGTTTTCTGTTGACAGATTCATTCTGACACCTGGCAATCACTGACTTCCAACTGCATGCTTAACAATATATTCTTTTGTAACTACAACGAATTATATTTGTGCAAATATTTATTAGCAATCTCACTAATTTTAGATCTAGGATTAGGATTTCTTTCATAGGTGCACCACCTAATTCAATTCATGCCAAGAACACACATTTTCCAAATTTTATACTTTATTAAATATAGTTGCTCAAGACAAACTATTCATTTTCTTCACTGCGCAGTCTGGCATTTGGATTGGTAACTTTGATAGCAAGCTGAGCTGCTCTCTCCACAATTATCTTCCGGTTCTTGGATGAAACGTTATGAGCAATTTCTGCACAAAATGACCTAAAAGCAACCACAAAATAACGTCACAATCTTTTTGTTAATATATCGAATGTTTCTAAGAAATTTTCCTCAAAATTATTTTTATGAAATTCCGGACAGTGAAAAATCATCTACTCTGACTAGAACGTAAACTAATCTAGATATATAGCACACCTTCTTCCCCATTTTCCCCACAACCACCATCCTAGGAGTTGGGGAGAGTAAGTGATTGATCCAAAGACACCCAGCTAGCTCTCATGACTATCTCTGGCTTTCTAGCATGGTGCTTTAACCACTAGACCGAACTGGTTGTCATTACTGTCCTGCCTCTTGTTAGGGAGAAAGGCAGCAGTGGGTACAGTTTTGGTACTATAGTTCTATGTTCTCCAGGCTTGGCTGCAAACTCTGGGGAAGCTCCCTTTTTACCCTCCTTTCTCCTTAGTTTTAGTTGGAGAATTAGATGTGCAAAATGAGTCAACTGCCCCGATTCAGTACAGATTGTCACAACGGTTCATTTAATGACTATTTGAAGTTACAACAGTACTGAAAAACAGTGTAACTTATGACCGTTTTTCACACTCATGAAGGCTGCAGCATCCTCATGGTTATGTGATCAAAACCCAGACACTTGGCAATTGACTGATGGATGTAGTGTCCCAGGATCCTGTGATCAGCTTTTGCGACCTTCTGTCAAGCACAATCAATGGAGAAGCCAGATTCATTTAACAACCATGTTACTAATTTAACAACCACTGATTCATTTAACAACTGGCAAGAAATGTCATACAATGGACAAAATTCACTTAACTGCTTAGTAATATAAATTCTGGGGATCAATTGTGGTCGTTAAGTCAAAGACTACCTGTATGACCACAACACAACTGACTGTTGGGAGTCAATCCTATGCTAGGCTTTATTGGATCGGTTTGGCATAAATATATCGGCCATTGCCTTGGGATTAGCGTTCAAGATGATGTGGTATATACACTGCTCAAAAAAATAAAGGGAACACAAAAATAAGACATCCTAGATCTGAATGAATGAAATAATATTCTTATTAAATACTTTGTTCATTACATAGTTGAATGTGCCGACAACAAAATCACACAAAAATTATCAATGGAAATCAAATTTAGCAACCCATGGAGGTCTGGATTTGGAGTTACACTCAAAATTAAAGTGGAAAAAAACACTACAGGCTGATCCAACTTTGATGCAATGTCCTTAAAACAAGCCAAAATGAGGCTCAGAAGTATGTGTGGCCTCCACGTGCCAGTATGACCTCCCTACAACGCCTGGGCATGCTCCTGATGAGGTGGCGGATGGTCTCCTGAGGGATCTCCTCCCACACCTGGACTAAAGCATCCCCAACTCCTGGACAGTCTGTGGTGTAACGTGGCGTTGGTGGATGGAGCTAGACATGATGTCCCAGGTGTGCTCAATTGGATTCAGGTCTGGGGAACGGGTGGGCCAGTCCATAGCATCAATGCCTTCGTCTTGCAGGAACTGCTGACACACTCCAGCCACATGAGGCTTAGCATTGTCTTGCATTAGAAGGAACCCAGGGCCAACCGTATCAGCATATGGTCTCACAAGGGGTCTGAGGATCTCATCTTGGTACCTAATGGCAGTCAGGCTACCTCTGGCGAGCACATGGAGGGCTGTATGGCCCCCTAAAGAAATGCCACCCAACACCATTACTGACCCACTGCCAAACCGGTCATGCTGGAGGATGTTGCAGGCAGCAGAATGTTCTCCACGGCGTCTCCAGACCCTGTCAGGTCTGTCACATGTGCTCACTGTGAACCTGCTTTCATCTGTGAAGAGCACAGCCCGCCAGTGGTGAATTTACCAATCTTGATGTTCTCTGGCAAATGCCAAACATCCTGCACGGTGTTGGGCTGTAAGCACAACCCCCACCTGTGGGCATCGGGCCCTCATAGCACCCTCATGGGGTCTGTTTCTGACCGTTTGAGCAGCCACATGCACATCTGTCGCTGCTGGAGGTCATTTTGCAGGGCTCTGGCAGTGCTCCTCCTGTCCCTCCTTGCACAAAGGTGTAGGTAGCGCTCCTGATGCTGGGTTGTTGCCCTCCTACGGCCTCCTCCACGTCTCCTGATGTACTGGCCTGTCTCCTGGTAGCGCCGCCATGCTCTGGACACTACGCTGACAGACACAGCAAACCTTCTTGCCACAGCTCGCATTGATGTGCCATCCTGGATGAGCTGCACTACCTGAGCCACTTGTGTGGGTTGTAGACTCTGTCTCATGCTACCACTAGAGTGAAAGCACCACCAGCATTCAAAAGTGACCAAACCATCAGCCAGAAAGCATAGGAACTGAGAAGTGGTCTGTGGTCACCACCTGCAGAACCGCTCCTTTATTGGGGATGTCTTGCTACCTGCCTATGCTTTCCACCTCTTGTCTATTCCATTTGCACAACAGCATGTGACATTGTCAATCAGTGTTGCTACCCAAGTGGACAGTTTGATTTCACAGAAGTGTGAATGACTTGGAGTTACATTGTGTTGTTTAAGTGTTCCCTTTATTTTTTTGAGCAGTGTATTATATAGCAATGGGGGCTGGAGGAAAAAATGAGAATAAAATACAATTACAGTCCAGGATTTCTAGTTCTATTGATATTTTTTCCAATCTTTAAATACTTTCCGTCAATAATCTTTCAGCAACACTAAAGAATTTTGTAAAGGCAACAAAGTAACAGAAAAAGGACTCATCTTAGGGAGGAAGAACCAGACATTCTGAGGAAGAGAATTACAAAAGATACCTAGAAAAGATGCCTAAACCAAAAAGGCTGGTTTAATAGATTCCATCATCATTTCAGAACAACTTAATTTTACTACAGCAACGCAACATGGCAGATCCTAAAGAATAATCGCAAAACACTTTTTCCAACTTACTTGTTGCTCATCATTAGCACCTCCAGCTCTTTGACATTATGAACAAGAAACTTCCGGAATCCCGAGGGCAGCATGTGTTTTGTTTTCTTATTGCTCCCATAGCCAATGTTGGGCATCAAGATCTGGCCCTTAAATCTTCTGCGAACTCTGTTGTCGATACCTCTTGGCTTGCGCCAGTTACGCTACAAGAATTCAAAAGCAATTGGAAGAACTTCAATATGATGTTTTCAGAGTTTGTCATTTTAAAGTTCTGAAGACCCACAATAAACCACCAAAGTATTTTAACATTAACTGAGGGTTTAACATTAACAAAAAGAATATCTACCTTGATTTTGACATAGCGATCAGATTGATGACGGATGAACTTCTTGGTCCTCTTTTTGACAATATTAGGTTTGATGAGAGGCCTCAGAGCTGGCATTATAACTAGGAAGAAAAACATATGTAAGGAATTATGACCTGTAGTCTATAAATAAGTATAAGTATCTATTAGTATAAACTTGTTGCAGAATATCTTCCGTTTGCTCGCACTTTTCAGAGCCAGAAACAGAATGGGTGTTTTCTGCAACTTATATCCCTCCTGTGTCCAAAGCTGGAAGAGTACAAAAACTCTCCAGATGCGATCCTGGGAGGTTATTCATTTAAAATGTGAGTTCTGGGGATCTCTCATTTTTCCGTATTTCTTTAGTATATACTGCATTCTTAAAAATGATACAAATTCTACATTACTTAAAGCAACCAACAGCAAAACCAATGGCTCATCTATTACAAATGGACTCATAGAAAGTGGATGCTTTGTCAGAAATCAGATTAACTTTTCCCAATTGTTATTGAGATTTTTTCTTTGTTAATCAGGACTGCAAGGTAAATTACCAAATCTACATGCACCATTCTAAAAATACATCTGCAGCATGATGGATGAGCAAGATTATAGTTGCTTTTCTGTGCCCAGCCACTGTTCTTTCAATTGGCTTTCAACTTGAAATTTTCATCTGAAAAAAGAAACCAGGTTGGACTTGCCCTTGGGAATTGTGAGGCTTTCAACTGCACAAAACCCATACATATCCCTGTAGTTCATTTTCACATCATGCCAAGTATGCAGACACTGGGAAGATTAGCAAAATCATAACTCTACCTTCTTTCATTGCTAATTAAAAGGCTGGTATATGAAAATAAATCTTTATATATAGCACATGCATATATAAAAGGAACAAGCTCTATATAATGAGTATTTCATAGAAAGGACCAAATGGCTTCCGTAAGCCAAGGCTATGCATAATATTATTGCTGCTGCTATGAAACAACTGGGTCTTGGTCACTTAATAAGAATATCAAGCACACTTCATCTTCAGTGAAGTTTTCTCAGATGAAAGAACAGGTGGATGTATCATTCCCACCACACACACAATTGGGTACATGAGGAGAACAATGCTCTGGGGTAGCTGTCAACTGATTTATGTCTTGCAAAAAAAACCCACAATGGTCTGCAGGAGAGGTAGCCCTCGAGTTACGACCACAATGGAGCCCAAAACGTATGTTGCTAAGTAGAAACATTAAAGTGAGTTTAGCCCCGTTTGATGAATTCTTGCCACAGCTGCTGAGGGAATCATTGCACTTGTTAAGTTAGCAACAGGGTTGTTAAGCGAACCTGGATTTCCCCCCTTCCCTTTGCTGCTCAAAAGGTCGCAAAAGCGGATCGCAACCGTCATAAACACGAACCAGATGCCAAGCGTTTGAATTTTGAGGCCAACGGCCCTTCAGTGAGGAAAAAACGGTCCTAAGTCACTTTCAGCGCCTCTTTGGACGGTCACTAAACGAACTGCGGTTAAGTCGAGGGCTTCCCGTATCGTTTCTCAACCTTAGCAACTTTTCAGAAGGGCGGACTTCCATTGCCATAGTTCCCAACCCGCCATGCAGTCCCCGGGGGCAGCCTCAAAAACTCTCCTGCCGCCTCTGAAAGCAGCAGCTCCGAAGTATCTAAGCGAGGAAGGATCCGGGCCTGCCAGCTCTTGCGCTTGCCTGCCCTGCTGCTGCAGTTCCACCCCAACCCAAGAAGCCTCAGCCCGCAACCGCCCCCCCGCATTACAACGTGCGAGAGAACCCGCCGTTTATCCCCGCTTCAGAAAAGGGCGGCGGGAACTGAGGGAAACCATCTGCGAGCAGCCCCGAGAAGGAAGAAAACGCCCCTGCAATGTCTCTTCGCCCAGGATGGCAACGGATTCCCGACTTACCGACTTATCTTAAGTGCCGCGGTAACGAAACCTTGGCGGCACGGAAGGAAAGAGAGAGAGAGAGGAGCCGGAAACGGCAAGGGTTGATGGGAAGTCCTGGAAGGTCGAAAGAAAGCCTTTCGAGTCGGTTGAAGAGCCACGGAAAGCTGTGCCTTCTAGACGGTCAATCTTGTTGAAGGATGATCCAATGAAAATGCGTTTATTTAAATTTTATTGATTTTCATTGAATTCTACTTAAATAAAATCCACATTTCAACGCGATGAGCAAGGACCTGGGTACGTCACTTTCCGCCAGCAGGGGCAAAATGTAGACGAGGAAGTAAGAAAGGGTAGAGAGAACTTGCTGTTCAATTGAGAACTCCTGATAGATTTAAATAGTGGACCCCGGACAGGGCAGCGGTGGAGTCTAGGTCAGGGGTCTCCAACCTTGGCAACTTTCAGACTTGTGGAATTCAACTCCCAGAATTCCCCAGCCAGAGGTGTCTGCTTCTTTTTCTCTTACCCCTCCAAAGTGGAGAGATTGCAGAGGAATGGATTTCAAGAGAGTATGCTATACTGGCTGGGGAATTCTGGGAGTTGAAGTCCACAAGTCTTCAAAGTTACCAAGGTTGGAGACCCCTGGATTAGAAACAAAGCGTGCGCACCCACAAACTCTTGTAACTAGCAATTTCTCTATCCCTTTTACCAATTTTGCGTTTACATTAATTATACATTTTAATTCAATGTAATTTATTATTATTTTTTAATCTGCCATCTGATTTCTGATCTTTATATCTATGGGGCAGGAGAAAATGAATGGATGATCATACTATGAATTCCTGAATCCTGACGTTACGATTATCCAGGTTCTCCTTTGTTCAGCTATTGGGTCACCCTAGACACCAACAGATAGAGATCTGTGAATAACATCACTTCTTTCGCTTAAAGTAGAAAAGATTTAGGAGACCCCGGTTATGAAAGTACTCTATATCGGACATGAACACAATTGAGCGGGTTCGGAGATATTTCTCAAGAAAAGTACTCCACTCCTCCACTCACAGTTGAATCCCTTATGCCTCCAGGCTCGAAATTCTCGGCCTGGACAATCTAGAACTGCGCCGCCTGTAGTCCGATCTAAGCATAGTTCACACCTATACTTGTTATTTTGTGCATGTTTGACAAACAAATAAAAAAGAAAAAAAGATTACGTGAAAATATGGCTCAAGATTAAATATCAAGAAGACAAATTTGTCAGTCTGCATGCTGAATGATTTTACAGTTGGTGGCAAACAGGCTTGAGGGAAGATGAAAGGCAGCAAATTGGGGGTGGTGGTGGATATAGGACCTTCCAAGAGATTATTGGAATATTCATAGAACAAATTATTACTAGTAAATGGTCAAGGTGATGCTTGCTTGTGCAATTTTCAGAAGCCAAGAATGTGATTAAAATTCTGCATTCTGCCTCCCCACTTTTCAAAGGAAATCTCTAATTTCTAATGGAAAGAGGAAAAAACTATAGAACTTCAACTGTAGAGCTGGATCCCTCTATAAATTAACTCTTATCTGCAGCTAGTCACCAAATTGAAAAATTTAGAGATTTTGCAGGTAAGTTTCAGTATGAAAGCCCTAAATTGTCATTTTATACCTGATGTGCAAAAGGAATTTTATGCAGATGCTTGGGTTGGTTGTGCTACTGACATGAACCATTACGACGAGGACGTAAACATTCCTGTCAAATATACACAGCCTAAATTACATGTAACTGATCTTGCTATGTGATATAAAATATTCCTTTCTGAAAAAGTTGAGATTCAAATATAAGATTTTGGTTTCCACTTAATGATTATGTCTCGTGAATATTACAGTAGCAATTCCTAGTGATCCTACTTGATCTGGAAGAAGGTAAGCATCATCAGATCTGCTTAATAATTGAATGAAAACCCAGTATCTCATTGGAAAGTTGAAAAAATATCATGGAAGAAGATCAAGACTTTTGTACTGTCACCAAGAAAACTACAGGGATGTATCCATACAGCTAGCAGAAGCTGAGCTTTATTCAAGGGAGAGAGAGTAAAAAAAATATTTTGTTTGTGGCTACTATTAAATAGAAAGGCACCATTTATAAACCACATCCCTAAGATGATAACTGGATTCACACATACACAAAAGAATAATGCATTTTAGTATATTAATCTAACTGTGTTTTTAAAGTACTGTATGATGTATGGCCTGTGCCTAGAATATTGTAGAAGCCTAATTTGTTCATTAAACAAACTGCAGCCAGTTGTAGTTTAATGAACCAGTTAGGCAAATTAGGGCTCAGTGTACTATATAAAATAAATGAAGATACCATTTCCCATGCTAGTTGCATATTCAAAACTTGAATAACATAAAATGTACCATTCATAACTAATATAGCTCTACTATACACATGGATCCACTTGACGTATACAAATGTAGCTTGAGCTAGTGACCAAGCCATGAACAACTCATGGGTTTGACCTGCTAATTTATGAAGATCCAATGATAGGGTTAAATAGCTAACTGAAATCCTTGAAAGCAGCAGATTCAATTCTTCTGTTCAAAGGGTGTGTGTTTTCTGCTGTGGAAAAAAAGCCATGGTAACCACTAACATTAGCCACATTTTATACTACTGCTCTTTTCCACATTCTATTCTGCCCTTTTATGCCTCCACTGACAACTTCAGTTCAAATTAGGTAGTATACTATCGTTGTCTGGATATTAATGTTCTAATTGCTCCATAAATTTATGTTTGGTTCCAAACATCCAATTGGGAGATTTTGCAAACATACAACAGAAATGAATGAATGATGAATGAATTCTTTATTGGCTAAATGTAATTAAACTCACAAGGAATTTGTCTTAGTGCATATGCTCTCAGTGTACATAAAAAAAAGATACATTCATCAAGAATCATAAGGTACACCACTTAATATAGTCATAGGGTAAAAAATAGGCAATCAAATCATACTAAGAAACAGTCAATATAAATCTTAAGGATACAAATGTCAGCCTCACCCTTATTTGGATCACCCCTTCCCCCTCAAATCAGGGGGCTGTTAGCAGTGGTGGGATTTTTTTTTTACTACTGGTTCTGTGGGCATGACTAGGTAGGCATGGCCAGATGGTCATGTGACTGGGTGGGTGTGGCTAGGTGAGTTTTTTTTCCTCCCGCAGCACCCTCGCCTACTGGGCCTCAGGAAAGCCTCCCCGGGTACTGAAAAAAGCAGCATTTTGAAGGTAAGTATAACAGCAAAGGGGGGGGGATCAGCTGTGCTGCACGATTTAGATTAGCTAGAAAGCAAGAAATCTGATGATTTCCTGCTTTCTAGCTAATCTAAATCACACGGCACAGCTGATCGTCAGAAATACTGCTTCGGAAGTACCAAACTGGTAGCGTTTTTTTTACTATCAAATTTTTTTACTTCCAGAATTATCCTGCTGGCATGACCATTAAATTAAATATTTCCAAGTTTGGCTGCAGAAGTCAAGCCAGGCTTATTGAGGTTTACCTGTCCAGCAAGAATGGGGCTATTGAAACAATAAAGCCTTGCTAGTGGTCACCTAATATAAGGGCTCAAAGAATATCAAGACACTTCCTAAATGCAATTTTGTAATCCTCCAAATGGTAGCTTGAGAAAACCCTTTATACTGCATAGGATTTCCATTTCTGCAGTGCAGTATATTGTATGTAGATACTACAGGATGAGATAAAAACTGACGATCTTCCATCTCCACCAGAAAAGGTTATGATGGGAGGTGTTCATTTTGGGAAAAGAATAAATGGAGGACAGTATATGACATAGGTTGATAAAACTATCTGCAGTGTAGGAAGATTATAAAGAAGGGAATTTCCTCCTTCTTGTGAAGGAGGAAACCAGGGCAGCTTAGGAGCTTTAGGGGTTTTCCAGATGCAATTTGTTGGTCACACTGGAAACAGAATGCTTAGCTAGTCTTTTGCCTGATGATGCCGGGACACAAAATAGGGACATTATGCCAACAAATATGTCACAGCCCTTTCATCTCCTTCAACCTTCTCAGCAGTACCATTATTATAACAGTGTTTATACATCTCCTGCAATAACAGTGGGGAATGTGCAACCTAAAGAGTCTGTTTGACTGTCAAAGCTAATGGGCACCGTAATCTCATTTTAGGACGCTACCAATTTCCCATCCGTTGAAAAAATGGCATATTTCCTGTTTTGTGTACCTCTCTGTTTCTAAGGAGGGAATAGAAGCAAACCTGTTTCCCCAAAAACCCAGACATTCAAACCTTTCATTGAAAATCAGTAGCATGGTCATTCACACAACACGCTTAAACTACATACAAATTGATTGTTTGAAAGCCCCTTTCACTAAGCCATAATTTTGTCATACTGTGTATATATAGGACTATGACCCTCTATTAGTCCAATGGAGCAGCTTTCTTGGTCAAGTTCTTCAGAAAGGCCATCAAATGTAATAGTTATGTTTGCGAGTTTCTGGATCCCCTAAGGTCATGTACCCCTTGTTGTTGACTGGCCAGTTGCGACGTGGAACGTTAATACCAGGATTGACCGGGCGTGTGTGAGAGACATGACTGAACAGAACTTCACTTCTATCCTCTCTTGGTTCAAGTAGATACAAGTGCAGCTTATCAAGGAGATGCCCCGGCCAGAAATTATTAGGGTTGGTCAAGGGATTCAGGTAGTAATACATTCTCCTCAGTTCTCTGCAAGCAAATAATATGATCATGAAACAATATACAGAAAAAATAAGGTGGAGATTTAATAAAATGAAAATTTGTCATTTTGCCAAAAACCAAAAGAAAAATCTAGGGTTTGAACATAAGCTGCGATGTGTCTTTGATTCCAAATTTGCCAGAATGCCACTATACAGTGCAAGCAGTGGTTTAGGTTTAATATGCTGTGTCAATGCAATTAATATGAAATTCCTATAGATGCACAAATAAAAAATTAAAGGGGAACTGACAATTTAACTTACATTTGTCACCTTAATGAGAATAAATCCTAATTCAAAATAAAAATAAAGTACTGTAACTTAAACCTTAGGTGCAAACTAAAAGGCTTGGGCCCAGCTAATCTGCAACACTGCCTCCTGCTGGAACTCACTTGCATC